TAAAATTTGTTTTAGTAAAAATATATGAAATCTACTTTACAAGAACAATTGGAAAGAGGAAAAAACTATTTAGATTTTCTTAATGAATTTTGATTTTCCTAATGATTTTCTTAGTTATTTTTTTAATAATTTCTACAAAAAAAAAAAACTTTGAAAAAGAAAAATCTGCTTTAGAAGCAAAACTATAATAAGGAAAAAACTATTTAGATTTTCTTAATGAGTTTTGATTTTCCAAATGATTTTTTAAACAAGTCATTTTCATATTTTTTCCACTGACAATTCTTAAGATACGAAAAATCTACTTGAGAAGCAAACAGAATAACGAGACCAATATCAATACTAATACTGTGAAAATGTGCAGAATTTAATCTAACACACAATACAAAACAAAAACAGTATTTTTTCCCTTTGTTCCCATAGGTGTGGTTCCAAAACCGCAGGGCTAAAATGCGCAGACAGATGAAGCTCCAGAGCCAGGCAGGAGAGCAGTGCGGCCGGCGCGACAGTGACGACAGACAGGTAGATTCGTCCAGCAGAAGCACAGCTCCAGAGCTCCACAGCAGCAGCAGCCCAGGCTGGGACAGCAAACACCAGAAAGGAAGCCCCACTTGGTCCAAACCGTCCTCATCAGCTATCCACAGCCCCGTAAGCGACATGCATCAGCGGCCGAGAGATCAGGAGGGGTCAGAGGAGCCCAGTCCAGAGGACTTCCGCTGCTGTAGCATTGCCAAACTGAGGGCAAAGGCCAGGGACTATGAGGCAGAGATCCACAGCACTGTGGCCAAGGCCAGCAGAGAGAGGCAGATGAAGACACAGGTATCTGCCGCAGGCCTGGACAGAGACTGAAACAGATGCAGCCATTATACATTACCTCAGAATCACACAGAACACATTAGAAATCCCATTCAGTTTATTATTTATTATTATGCACAATTACACAAGCAATGAGGCTAAACAATGTGACTGAGAGCAGCGAAACACATTTCTTAAAACAATTTTTTTTGCTTCTTAGATTGTCACAATGTCATGTATTATCTGTGAAACCAATGGACCCTTTTCAAATTTCCGGGATTCTCAGAAGCAGAAGTCATCGTAGTTGGGTAAACTTCTCTAGGGGATGAACAGAAACTACAGCAAATGTTTTTTTGTGTGTGTTCCCATTTACCCTAATAGCAAAAAATAAAATAAAAATCATGATAGTGTTTCTATGGCTTAACATACAAGGGGAAAAAAACGAGACCGATTACTTTGCTCAGAAGAGAGAAAGATGTCAAATTTGCCGTCATTCCCTCAGCAGTTGTGTTAAAAACACCCAGCAGTGTTCATTTTTATGTAATTTAATGCCAGTCTAATATAACACAACCTATAGTGTAATACATGTTTTAAAAATAAAAAATATCTGTGGAAACACATCATCTCAATCTTTGAAAAGGGTCCATATCAACTCATAATAATACTTTTTTTTTATTATACAGACAAATGTGAAGTTAAATGTATTCTCTTTTCTTAATTTTAAATGTTTTCTTTAATTATTATAAGCAGCAATTTATATACAGCCTTTAAAACTAATTTGAAAACTTTTTTGAGGTTGCTTGCTTCGCTTTATGCCTACAGTGGACATTTCCAAAGCTAGTTTTCTCAAATGTTATTGGACTGACAGCTAGTGAACAAGAGGAGCTAAAAGAGGAAGCTCGTGGTGATCTCATCGATGGCCAGCTCCTCTATCAGCTATCCTGTTACCCTGCGTGAAAACACAGGATGTCTGCAAGCTGCCACAAGCCCTCCATAAACACAATAGGGACGGCTGAAAAATTACTGCCTTTTTTGACAAAGGTGCTTTTTAAAGATTGCAACACACTTTACATATGTACTTTTTTCCACAATAGATGCTATTTGTGCTGAACATTTGTTCATATACTGTAATTATTGCATGCTTTTGGAAATCACTTTTTAATTTCATGTTTCATGCTTAACATTTACATGTTTTTCAAGAAAATTTGCTACCTAAAGGGACCATTCAACCATAAAATGAATATTCTGTCATCATTTACCCTCATTTTGTTCCAAACCTGTATGACTGACTTATTTTTTCAGTGGAACACAAAAGAAGATATTTTGAAGAATGCTGGTTGCCAAACAGGGTTTGGGTCCCATTGACTTCCATAGTATGGACATAAAATATGGGACCTGAAACTGTTTGGTTAATGATGCAGAATTTATATTTTTGAGTGGACTATCTGTTTAAATCCATTTCAGATAATCCTGGGAAATGTTTGTTCAGAACTGCAACCCCTGAGAACTTGTGAAATGCAGGACACCTCTGGTATATCTGAAAATATGGACAGAGTGCCTGCTTCATGTCAAATTAATGTAAAAGTTCTCAATTAGGGAATTTCCTGTGGAATCAGCAGAAAAATCAGCTTCATGCAATGTTTGTGTGACCAAAGCTGGTGTTGAAGAGCCTGAAATTGCATTAGTCTTTAGTTCTCTGAGCCAGTGTGAAGTAAGAGTGCCCTCCTCTGGGCAACAGGGTCCTCTTGAGTTTAAGGGCATCTTATTTTGAGATTAAGCAGGTTTGTTTGATCAAAACAGATTTTAGAACTACAGTAACATCTTCTGATTTCTCTCAACATGGGGACAGGAGAGCTGTCAATCAATAAATTGGAAAAAAAAAAAAGTAACTTGCATTACTTATTTGAAAAAGTAACTCAGATATTCTCTTGTTAATTAAAAAGTAACGCGTTACTTTACTAGTTACTTGAAAAAAAAATTCTGATTACGTAACTCACGTTACTTGTAATGCGTTACCCCCAACACAGTCTATGAGAATATCATGCATGTGGAATCTGGAAGAGGATTTGATGTGTAACGAGTAGCTCAGATTGTCACAGCTTCATCATACTCAGGTTTCCGTCTTTCTGAAGTTCGGTGTCAAGCTATAAATAATCCCATTGATTGTGCACCCATCCACAACTTGAGATGCTCACCGTGGGTCAAACTTAAAACCATCAGAGGTGGTGGATCATCTGAAATTACACTGAAAACAATCTCCCTTCGCCTTAGGACAGCTGAACGGTGATGGTATTTATATACTAGGATTATATACATTCAGGACAGCAACACAGAGACTTTAATTGAGTAAATGAAAGAAACTGTGTATTAAGTAAAGTTTAGACCATTTAAAGGAATATATATCTGTTTTATTATTGTTAAAGTAAAACAACAGGCTGAATGTTAAAGGTTTTTTTCTCTCTCTCCCAGGGTTTGTATTCGCCTATGCAAATGAGGTGGACAGTCTGACCTTGTTAAGAGACCATTGTAAACATTCATATTCATGCAACAACAATTTGAACTGATTTATGCTGATGGTTGTAAACATCCTCTGCAGCCCCCTGTGGTTTCATCATAAACATATTACACATTTACACTGCCTGTGTCATGAAAATATGGGTCATTCTTGTTATGAAGTACCTTATAAACAATGTACTCGAACAAACGAATGTGCTTTTGTTGCAGTTTAAGGACTTATTTTTATAAAGCATACACAGGTCTTTCAGATATATAGTCTGGTCGAACTGAGGCATTGAAACTATTACTTATAGCTTCGTTATTTACTAACAGCATAGAACCTATAATAAAGAGCTAAAGTCATTGCTCAGTGAGCGATAGTAAATTCGCTTGCATAGTGTTAACCTAAAATTCATTTAAATACTTTAATTCATTTAACCTTTAGATTTTTAGGATAATATCATATTTTCTAAAGAATATCTAAAAGGATGGAATGCTTGAGGCAAAATAATAACGTAAACATTTGGAAAATATAAATGATCATTCATGGTTGTGCTGTAGCTTTCCAAAATGATTTCACTGAGGTAAAAAAAAAACTTCATTTTCATTGTTAAACACAAACACAATAATTCCCAGCATCAAGTAAGAGTGTCTATCTATCTATCTATCTATCTATCTATCTATGAATACCAAGATATAATGTTGATTGATATAGCCTACACAACAAGTAGCCTAATATAGAGTTTAAGTGCATTTTTTCAGCTGCTTTAACCTATTTCTGATTTTATGACAAAATAACTATTTCTATCCTTACGAATTTGAATTTAATATTTTAACCTGTAGGCTATGTTAAGTTTCCCACATGCTATAGGAACTTGAAAATGCGCTGCAAAACAGGAATGTTTTTCTAAAGTAGGCCTTGATTTCGTCACATTCCACAAGTTCCTTTTTAAATGATATGCTTGCCATATAACAGATATAATAACGAGAGAAACATACTCCCGAAAAAGAAAAAAAAAATCAATTAGCGTTTAATTATTGATGATTTGAGGCTCCTCCCCCTTCATTTCCTCTGTTCCACAGGTGCCGTGGTTGCTCTGCTGAAGTGAACACAACAGCTCTGAGGAGACGCCAGTTACAGCTCATATATCCGCTTCAACTCTTGTCACTCTTTCATTGGGACTTCCCGCCGTGTCTCCACACTCATTTTCTTCCAAGCTCCGTTATTTCGTCGAACAAACGACTTTTATTTGTCTTTCTGTTATTTAATAGACTCTCTCTGCCTTGCGTTTTGGCAGTAAGTGAGGGCTTTTGGAGAGGATGGCGGCTATCAAAGCGCTTCAGCAGTGGTGTAAGAATCAGTGCGAGGGATACAGAGATGTGAACATCAGCAACATGAGCGCCTCTTTCAGAGATGGACTGGCCTTCTGCGCTCTCATCCACAAGTTCAGACCGGACCTCATGTAAGTGTCGTTTATCTCTAAATTGTCACTGATTAGGATACAGAATTTGTTCAAGACTTTTTTTTGTTGTTGTTGAGATTTGTGTAAAGTACCAAACAAGTCTTGATGAGGATAATATTGTGTAGCTCAAAGATGTGGGTCAAATATTTGTCAAGCATCAAGAGTTTTAAATGGGATATTAGGTATGTATACGTTTATTTATATAGTACTGTACTATACCCAGATATTTGACTTGATTGTGGCCAGGCAAAAAAAAAAAAAATATTTGGGTACATGTGGAGCTTGTTCACTACTAGAGGAGTCATTGGACTTGAAATGAACCGGCTTTCATTAAATGCATCCATTAAATCACAATCCCCTAGAAAACAGCTCCAAAAATGGCAAGGACAAGTTAGTTCTAGGCCTAGGCTTTAAAGTTATTTGTTTACAGATGAGTGAGTAACATTAAGTGTGAATGTTAGTTTTTAAATATACTGTAGCTGAATTGTTTCTAAAGCCACTGTAATTCATTATACTGCAATGGAATTAGGCCAGCAGATTCATGGGTAGTTTGCATCCTGCAACGTGACATACTCTTCCGTTATATACTACTTCCATCTAACAATATTCAAGTGATTTTATGTACGCAGCTTTTTTGACTTTATAGAGACTACATGGAATATTTGTATGCCTCATTACAGGACTATTTTGAATGAATTAGTAGAGACAAAAAATGAGTAGAAATTGTGACCCAAGATTTACTCTTTCCTTTATTAATTCAAATGACATAACATTTACATATTTAACCCAAAATCTTGACCACAGTCTTATGGGCATGTTGGGTCACCTGCCCATACAGTATACGCTCACTATTTATTCTTTCTCAGCCTCAAATTTTATTTTTCTTTAGGCCTACTACTTGTGTAAAATTTTAATATTGTAGGTTTTGTGACCTTTAAAAACTTTAACGTTATTATTATTATTAAACTTTCATCAGCTTACTTTAGCATCAGCATTGTATTGTAACACTTCTCAAGGTTTCTATCTGTCTGGTGACTCATGTCCTTGTTTTCTTTCAGAAACTTTGAGTCTCTCTCCAAAGACAATGTGTATTACAACAACCACTTGGTAAGTTATTCTGTTTGGCCTTGATCATAGGAAATTACGACAGACCTGATGCAGCCATAGCTTGCGTGTTTTGCAGTTAGTTTTAGCTGTATCCTGTGCAGATGTGTGTTTGCTACAGTCCTGTGATAATGCACTATTGATTTTTTGTTTGTTTGTTTTGTTTTTGACAAGTTGGCTGGATGTTTGTTTGTAACCCAGCCTTATGTACTTATATGTTGTTTCTCGCATAATGACATGAATAAGAGCACTTAAGACTCTTTTCTCACAGCTTGTGAAATGCATGTGATCTAATGTTTACAGAGTTCTTAAATAGATGAGACTTGTTGCTCAGTAAAAGAGCCTATTTATGGGTCAAGTCTTCCAGCCATAGCTTTTGGCACAAAGATATCCTTTAGTTTCTGTAAACATTGCCTAAAATTTCAAGCTTGTACTCTGTGAACTTGGGTAAGAGGGAAGAATATTGTCCTAAACCATCCAATTTTATTTTTCAGGGCTCAGTTTATTTAAAAAAATTTTTTTTCCAGTGAGTAATTACTACACAATCTAGATCGATTTGGATCTATTTATTCATTTTATAGATTCCACACTTATGCTTTGATCATTTGATCTATTGTTCACAGGCAACTTGTAAGTTTTAGTTTATTTTATGAACTTTTCTAGAGTGGTAGATTTCAGATTGCTGAGAGAATATTTGGTACCTTCCTTGGCGTGTATAAATGTTTGTATTTTTAAATTGTTAACCTAATTTAATTGTTTGAACCAACAATTTTCATTCTGATAGTGCAAGCTTTACATGTAAGATTTAATTTGCGTTTGAGGATATGGATGCTGTCCGACCAGGACCAGTGATTATTTTTCATCCCTGTCAGGAAGTGCTTCTATGAGAGTGAGGTGGTGAGAAAGACATGCCACAATTGGGACTTTTTCCTAATCATGAGCTCTTCCTCACGTTGCTTCCTCGGTGACTGTAGATTATAAGCCACACACTCTGAGATCTATTACAAACCCTCACCACTTCTATAGACGGC